TGTCGCTTCGCGTTGAATTTTCGTCGATGTTAAGCCTAACGAAGACTATTGTATCGTTAAAAATTATTTTTTTATTTTGTACAAACAAAATAAATATATTGAAAAATATAAAAACAATAAAAAATTATACTTCAGAAGTTAATTTAGTATCAAAAACGTAAAATATTTGAGTAACCCAAGACATAGCCAAAGATTGCAGCGCCACAGCACTGGCAAAAATTTAAATTTGCAGACTGGAATTCTTTCGGATGATTGACTTTCAGATAATCGATGCTCTACTGTACCTCCAAAATTATACACAAGCAATAATTAATACAGATTATTTCTAAATTCTTTTCTTTTACATATCTTTGAAAATAATTTGTGCACGATTAAGACAATATTTAATATTACGAATAAATTCAAAAGATTAATACATCTTTATAAAATTTTCAAAAAAAAAAAATCTTTAAAATTCAACAGTAAATTTGGAATTGACTTTCTAAACTTTAAAGCTTAAATGCAGTACCTTTTGAATAAGCTACATTGATGTAACATGAAGATGGCTTTAAAAAACAGAAAATTATTTAAATAAATTTACAAATGAATTTAAAAATTGTTTTGAAGATTTATTCGTTGCTAATAATATTAAGCGCACACATTTTTTCTTTAGATATTGCTAGTTATAAAATATTTAATAAAATAAATTTGTATTATAAATATGTTTATATATATTAAAGCAATATAATGCTAAAATATATTTGATATATCAGAAAATTAAGTAATCAATAATCAACCTAATCTAATATTAATGAAATATTAATGTATAATTTATAGTGTGTAAATGTTTTTATATAGTTTTATATAATTTTATACATACTATACTTAAAAAATGAAAAATATTTCAACATTACTTACCATGATTTCCCAATAGTTTATAAAACCTGTATTCTAAATGTAACTGAGGAGCCTTTGATTTCATGGGTTCCTATAAATAATTATAATATATAGGTAAATAATAAGCACACATTTTTAAAGTATCAGAAAGTAAAGTATCCCTGTTCAATGCTGTCTAGAAAGATATTTTAGCAGTCCAAATAAAACCAAATTTGATATGGTGGCATTTCAAGACATTCAAAATGTCTTTCGAACACCCTGAAATGTACAAGCAACAAATATTTTGTTTGTACAAGACACTCATATTATTCATAGATCTTAGTGATAAAGAGGATAATTGCTCAATGTAGTCCCATTCTAAAGGTGTAAACCTGAAGGCCATTCATAGGCATTAATTATGGTCAGCCACTAAAAAGTATGTTCAACAACCAACCATAACTGATCTTCTGTGATGCTTTTCACATGCATTGCAATACTATCTTTGACTGCTGAAAAATTTTGCAACACATCCTTGATAAACCACATTTTTTTAAGTGTCTCCACAACAAAAACGACATGGATTAAGATTACATGGCTTGCAGTGCTAAAAGTGCCATAATGGTAAACTTTGGTAATAATTTTTGTTTTTACAGAAATCTCTTCCATGTACTGAAATACTACATCAAGTTTGGCTGTATCTGGACTGCTAAACTGTACTGAATAGAGGTACTTTAATTATGATTACCTGATATATGCTCATTAATTATTAAAAATTATTATGTTTAACATTTTTATTTTGTTTATTGTTTTTAATTAAAAAAATTAAAAACAAATGAGCAATATAAATAAATTCTGAAATCTGAAATGAAATTTAAGTATAGGAACGCATCAAAAATTTTTCTTTACGTTGGCAGTTTATGTATATTCAAATATGTAAAACATTACAAATATTTTTAAAAAATGCTAATAATATCCACAAATTTTTGAATATTAAGTTTCATTTTCAACTGAAACTGAAAATTTGAAGCATTTATCCCATATTACTAAAAAACAATCCTGTAATACATTTTTATAATATACTCTATATATCTTAAGTACTATTTATCACAAAAAATACAGTTAGTGATACTCATTTTTTCTGAGACATTCTTAAAATTATATTTTACCCTACTATTTTAGAAAAGTTTGCATTATTTAATTAATTTTAATTAAAAATTTAAAATTTATTTTCATAAATAATAATAAAAATAGCAAAACAATATTGATGATAAACTATAACAACAGTTTTACTAAGTTTTAAAGTATGATAAAATAAACAGCACAAGGAATACTCAATAATTTTAAAACAGTCAAAACATTCAATTAATTATTTATTTAATTCATAATTAATATATATTTTGTGCCTTATTTATATAATTTTAATGATAATTTACTTTAAAGAATATATTTATCTATCTGTTAATCTTTTTCAGTTCATGTTTATTTTATATTTGTCAATTTAATGATTATCTTGTAAAATATTTTAGTAATATCTTAAGTAAACACAAAAGTAATGTAATCTGTGAATGAAACCATCTGAGTTCATAATTCCTGCAATAAAATGCAATGCCATCTAGCAAGTATCTGGAAAATTAGTATGGTAGAGCATCCAAAGTGGCTGCCTCACTTTAATGCAAAAAAGTTTAATTGCATGCTGTAATAAGAATTTTTGCATGCAGAATGCTGGAATCCTATTGATGTTCATCATCAAATGTTGTTCTAAATGCCCCATTTGTTCCAGAATGCAAATGAAGCTCAATGGAATGATGCCATCTGGGCTTCTCAATACTTGAAGAAAGTTTGCGCACAATATTTTGCAGAAAAGGATATGCTGACAATGTTTTGGGACAATAAACAGTAATTCTGACAGTAAAGATGATTAACACATTAATTCACATTTTATGACTTTTTGAAATAAGTAAATCATTAAATTATCTCATTATAATGAACACTTGAGATAAGAGAAACTGTCTATTATAGAGAGATGTCTGCCCAAGTGAGATTTTCCATAAATTACCTTTTAAATGTAATTTACACTATTTTATTTACAAACATAGTACACATCCTTTACAGATAACAGTAATATACACATTACAGTAAGTGACAAATTATCATAAGAGATATCAGTATTTTTTTAAATTCAATTATTCATGTTTATTTTTTTTTTAAATTATAGAAATCTGCTTCTCTCTACACATAATTAAATCTTATGATAGCTTTGTTAATGTAAAACTGCCCAAGCTTGTTCATGAATTGACTTTTTCAGCATCTCTTATTAACATTAATAATTATAAATAAATTATAATTATTAATGTTAATAAGAGATGGCACCTAATGCTTACCTCTAAAGCCAAATTGGTTACGTAATTCATTTAATAATTAGCCTTATACTAGCCCGATAGATTTTCGGCATTCGGTTGGTATGTACTGTACATACCTATATTATATATCAGGTTTAGCGATGTTTGTATATATTAGAGACAAGAAACTAATCATCCAACCATCAGCCAAATTAATTGGGCAGAAATTATCCTATAAATATTAATTAGAAATTACTTGCTAAGAACTGCCCAATTAATTTGACTGATGACTGAATGATTATTATGTTTTTGGTATGTTTATACATATTGTATGTTTATACATTTGGTATGTTTATACACTGCGTTCTTGGTATGTTTATACATATTGAAGAAACTAATTTTGTCTATTTTTTGTTCCTGGATAATCATATTGTAAAAATAAAGAAGTTTGGTTTTGTGCAGATTATTTTGTTCTCCTTATTCTCAAAACATCTTGGTTTGGCAAACTTTCCAATTACTAGTGATGGGAAATTAATCAGAATCAGAAAAAAATCAAGCATTTTCTGGTCATCAGAATCAAGCAAATCTTGACATGATTTACAATTTTTCCACATTTCATAAGAAAATTAATTATTTGTAAAAGTCTGTCAAAGATTAAAAATTTTTAAAATTATGATATTAACAATTAAGTATTAATTTATTGGGAACTTTTACTTTGACAGAGCAGAAAGAATGCAATGACCCATACACAAGGTGATGGCTGTCATGGTGGACTTTTCTTTCATGTCAAGGGCTGTCTATAATTTAACTCTACATTTTTCTTGAAATTTTTACTACCCCTCCCCTTGTCCCAGTTGTCCAAATTTCCATAACATCTTCCCCCCTTTGGATGTCCAACAAAACTTCACCCCCCTTAAAACCTTTATCACTTTACAAATGATAGATGCCATAAGTAGACACGAAACATACAATAAATTTTGAAAAAATATATTAAAATGCATAAACAGTATAAAATTTAACCCCCTCTCCCCTTCCAGTGTGGATGTCATTTATGGACAGCCCCTCAGAGCAATGAGAGATTGCACTTGGTCAGTACTAACCATGGTTTAACAAGAAGATTCAAACTGTTTAAGAAGACAGTTCAAATCTTATTAACCTATGAAAAAGGTCAAAAACATTAATTTAAATAAATTTAAAGTGGTGCAGAAAAAAGTATTTAAGGTAATGTTCAAGCTACATTAGTTTCAGCCTATATATATGTGTTTTTTTAATGATTAAACGACTTTCCCAATATAACTAAGAAAGTTTTGTTATGATTTACAGATGATGCTGTACTATGTTAAATTTTTTAATGCAATTCACGTTCTAAGCAAAAATAATTATTCATGCTAAGTTTACTGCCATTTTGAGTTTTGAAAATTGATTTTTCAAGATGAATCCGTCTAGACCAGGGTTGTCCAACCTTTTTTCCTAATGGGCCAAATTAGAAATTTAGGTATATTTAGCAGACCACAAAGGTACTGTACTTTATATAAATATATGCTTTCAAAAAGTTCAAAATGTGAATATCAAATTTTAATAACAAATATATATTATTACAAAAAAGTACTATATTATTGACAATAAAAAAAGAAATTATATTCACACAAAATAAAAATAATTTCAATGCAATTTTTGACATTGCCTTCGTTTTATAATATTGTCAATATCTGCTTTTATGATAGTACTCTTAATTCTAAGAATGTTAGTTAAATTGGAATCACTCAACCTATTTCTTTTGGCAGTTTTGATGATTTTAATGCATGAAAAAAATTGTTCACAACAGTATGCACTACCCCACATGCATAACAGTTCTCTAGATAAAATAGTTTCTAACACCAATTACATCATTATGACATCAAAGTGTACTAGTGAAATAAGAACAGCATACTTTACCAAAATAAATGAAAATACACCTAAAAAAATTTAGGGTGCAGCAGGCTGCATAAAAATATTAAGTGGGCTGCGGGTTGGATATTTCTGGTCTAGACATTTGTTTGTTTCTTCTTTTCCTTGGAAAAAAAGTTAACAAAATTACACATTTAGGAAAACCTGGCTCGAGTGAATGAATTCTAAACTTAGTTAACTCTAGAAGATGATGATAATTGTTCATCTCATTGTATCATTTGCCAAACCCCATTTAGTGTTAAATATGATGGAATTAAAGCATTCAAGAGGCATGCCGATTGTGAGAGGCATTAAAAAAAGAAGTGCATCTTCTCATTTACCTCCCCCTCCCTCGGTCATTGCATTGACCAATGAAGCAATTTTCAAAGATCTTAGATGACACAATGGAATAGTTCTTTGAGTAAAAAATAATTAGCTGTAATTTCTTTGAGAGTAATGTTACAATAGTAATTCTATCTGAAATAAGATTACAAATTTATTTTCTAGTACACACTAAAAGCATGCATGAAAGAAACCTGAAAATGGAGAATTTTTGGGTTTCTTTCAAAAGATTGATTTTGGATTTTCCAATCATTTTCCATTCTTAAGTTTGATGTTTATTAATTAATTAATGTATCATGATCATAATGTAAATCATAAATTTTTCTAAACTAAAATAAACTTTAGAAAGTATTCAAAAGAATCAGGAGAAATTTTGGTATCTTCCCATCACTACCAATTACCAAAAGTTTGTATTCTCCATTCATATTTGCACACAACAGAATTGTTAGTTGTTCTTTTATTACTTTGCTACTGGAACATGATTCATCCTCAAAGCACAGTTTTGTCCAGAAGAGTGCAAAAGAACAGTAC